TGGTTTCACAAAATAGTGAGTTTAAATTTTTAAATTAACTTAATTATCATATTAAAAATCAAGATTTTGATATATGAAGTTAGGTAATTCAATATTAGGTGTATCAAATTATTTAAATTCCATTGAAGTTATGCTACTTGGAGGAATTAAGGCTTAATTACCCTTAGGTTTGAACTTTAGGAAATTGATTGAAAGAATTAGGTACGTTTTTTGTCTAGGCTAGACATAGAATAGATGAGTGTTTATAGAATTATTAACTTACAAATTATCCACATATACTTAATAGATTGTAAAGGTTCGGATACATTGAGGAAAAGAAAAACATTGGAGAAATATTTTACTTGACTTAAGTTCTCCGGTGGAGGTAGGTTATGGTTTATTCTTTTTGATATATAGACTCTTAAAAGAGATCGATATGCATTGAGTGATATTTTTGAAGTTATCTATGTACTTAATTGTGTGATCGTGTGACTTGGTGGTGTGGTTTAGATAATCTTGAACCTTCTCTATCGAAGTGATGCCTTGAATAAAGTAAGTTTGATAAAATATTGTTAAGGAAGTGAAAAGTGGTGATAATAAATGATAAATTAACAACATATTTTTGGATCGGGGTGTCACGTACCGATACGATATTATTGGAATGGGGTGTCACGTTCCGACACAATATTATTAGATCAGAGTGTCACTTTCTGACACGGTATTATTGGATCCAGATATCACATTCTGACATGGTATTATTGAATCAGGGTTTTGCACCTAGGTGTCACGTTTCGACATAGTAGTATTAAAGAGGATAACAAATTGAATTAATTGAATGTACTCAATCTTAAATAACCCATTACCTAAACAAATGTGGCGTGGAGGCATGAATCTTCGTGTGTATGCTTGATATCATCATTGATTACGTACTTTCTTCAATTGTCACTTGTTCTTGTCGTTTGTTATTTATCACCTGATTAGTGCTATAGTTGATTTTATACTATTACTTTATGCATTTAGTTACTATTTTGAGTCGTCCAATGATATTTACTTAGTACATGTTGTCTGTACTGAGCCTTACTTGTATTATTCTTTGCTTTTCTTTTTTGGAGTGCATCGAGTGTACCTACGACTTTGAATTATCCTCAGCTCCGACGGGTTATAGGATCTTAGTCTAATTAAGGCGTGTTTATGAGATTTTGGTTATAGTCTAGGGGTTACTTGAACCTTATATTGCTAAAATTTATAGCTTCTTCTTCTTCTTCTTCTTCTTCTTCTTCCTCCTCTTTCCTTCTCCTTCCTCCTCCTCCTCCTCCTTCTTCTTCTTCCTCCTTCTAGTTTTGCCATTAATAACATTTTATGTACTAGTGAATTTTAAATAAAGGTCTGAAATTTGTGGAGAATCATATAACTAGTGAAATGAGTGATGCTTATCAGTTTTTTTGGAAGTTATTTCTTCCCTTTTCTTTTTATTTTGGGTACTCTTTCTTGAGAAGATGAGTATTAGAATGTAAAAATTTGACACATATTTTGTCTGTGATTAGTTTTCATAATGGATAAGGGTGATGTAGAGATGGTGAATGCCGAAAAGAATGTCCATGCTAGAGATGTCCTAGTGTCAAATGAATCCCTGGTCAACTACGAAAATGGTTTTAAGACAGAAGGATTGATTGGCATAAGCAATGTTGAGAACAAGACAAATGATTAAAGTGATTCAAAGAGAGAGGACTTGAAGAATTCTAGAAGTGAGATAGAGGACCAGCTCAACTCTAAGAGTTAGCCAGAGGCACACGGCAATGTGGTCTATGAGGAGAAAAACAATTCACAAGGCCCAAAAAGTGCTAAAATATTGAAAATAGAGAAGGGGAACTTGAACAAAATGTGTTAGCTGGAAAACAAAAATACCTACTATTGATGCTGAAACAGGTGATACGGTAAGTGGATATTTGAGGGTTATTAATGATGAAGTACACAAGATTCTCTTCAAATTTCATACCTTAGTTTTTACAAGAAAAGTAACTTTATATCTAATTTCATTCCATAACTTCATCTCAAAATTGAGTGATAGGGAAAAAACACTCCAAAAAACAAACACGATGGGCCCTAATATTCAAGTTGTTTTCACTTTTTCCCTCCAAATCACTCACAAAGGCTCCAAAACGATTACTTCCAATTTATATTTACAACCAAACACAACTCCAATTCTCAATAATCATTATTCACTATCAAGAAGAGTGAATAATGATGATTGAAAATGGACTTGTGTTTGGTTGTGAATATAAATTGGAGTTGATTGTTTTTAGTTATTGCAATTGATTCAGAGTGAAAAAGTACTTTTTCAAATTTTCTCAATTTTCATGGACAAAGTCCCTTATATATAATCTATTAGCAAAATCATGCATTCCTCCACACAAAAAAAACCTTAACCCTAATTTCATCAAAACAGAATTGAGGATACAAAAACAAACAGACAAAAAATATTTTTCATTTCCGTATATTAACTCTAAACAGAATGAAAGCTAAAACAAAGGTCCTCCCACTGACCAATTCACCGTAAAAAATCATAACTTCATCCACCTATCAAATGAGTTTAATTTTTCATCTTTTTTCAAAAATAGAGCAACGTTCAACCGATAAACAAGTAATGCTGATGAGTAAAAAAAACTTAGAGAATCCATCAAATTAGCAATAGGTAGGAATCTACAATCGATTAGATCTTGATCAAGCAGAGTAGTATAACAAAGAAGGAAATGATTGTGAGCTTAACCCTCCAATGGCGGCTTTTGTTTTTTCAAATATTTTTTGGCATTAATTAATAGAAGAGTTTGCGTAGGATATGAGTGAATTCCTTTGTATTTATGTGAGAATTTTTGAGAATATAACTAAAATTACACTTAATTTAAGATTAATGTTTTATTTTTGTCTTATATTTTAGGAATATAAGTTTCAGCTATATATAATAAATTAGTAATTAGTTTAAATATAGATATATAAATAAAAAAAATATATTCAACATATTTATTGATTATATGCTATAGTTTGCTAAAATTCATGTAAAGTCTATACTGACTATATAATATATTGTACCTATATATGAATTATACACTGACCATACATTATGATACACTTATAAACTAAATATGGTTTAAATATATATGAAGTATACATTGACTATATATGAAGCATATATTGACTATTCAATCTCGATCAACTTTAATTCACCTTTGTTGTATGTTAAATTTTTTTTTTAAAAAGAAAAACCACTAAGAAGACACAAAGGTATTAATGTCGAATCTAGAAGGAAAAAGAAGAAGAAGAAGAAGAAGAAGAGTAGATGGTTTGGCCAATTTTAGTAATTTTACAGTCTAGAAGGAAAAAGAAGAAGAAGAAGAAGAGTAGATGGTTTGACCAATTTTAGTAATTTTACAATTTTAGCGAGATAAGGTACAAGTACTACCTAGATTATGACCGAAATCTCATACACACGAGTTAACTAAACTTAAGGTAATAATACCCCTGGGCCTATATTTTGTGATTTTGTACACCTTTATAGCTTACGTGGTATCCAAATATCTCCAGCGCACCTCAACTATGTTGAGTCATAGAGTGTGTCACGTAAGCCAAAAGGTGTATTAAATTACAAAACAAATGAGTTTGTGGGTGGGGGTGGGTGGGTAATAGGACCTTAGTTTAGTTATGTTGTGTCTTTGGGATATCGATCATAGTGTAGGAGGTACTTATCCTTTTCCCCAAATTTTACCTAAAATTTTGGCAACTGAAATAATCAAACGGTCATTTCTTATCATTTTTTCAGTATTTTACTTGATTGAAATAGTTATAACTAATAAAAGGTGTTCAGTTCAGTCGTTTGCTCTAAATCTAACAAGTTTATAAAATTAAAAGGAAGAAACTGTCTAATTACACAAAATAATAAATATGGTACGAATATTGTGTAATTATATAGTTTCTCACTTTTTATTTTATAAATATGTTAGGTTTAGGGCCAACGACTGAAATGAACACCTTTTATTATTTAGGACTATTAAATCAATTACAGAAAAATGATAAGAAATTATCATTTGTCTATTCACATTACCAAAATTTTAGCTATTGTAATGACTCATTTGATCGTTTTGAGTATTAGAACTTTTTATTTCATAAAATACTTCATGTAGATTCTAAATGGGTATTTTGGACTATTCGAAACTAAGTTACAAACTTAGAGCGTAGTTTTAGTAACTAAATTAGGTTGTGGTTTAGGAAGATAACATTAAAATTAGTAAGATTTAATATTTATTAGTTCATAATTACTTACCCTAGATAATTAAAAAGAGTAAGCAAGAGAACCACTATCTGCGGCATCAACTGGAAGCGACAACTGTCCAGGTAATACTTCAAACTCTTTGATTTCCAATAATATTTAGTATGTTGCGTTGTTAATGACAAGAAAGAAAAATCAAATTGAGAAGAGAATGGAATTGGAAATTCCTCATACACTTTAGTGGGTTTCATTATGAAGTTTAGTTAGAGAAAAGTGTTTCCATTCTATATTTAAGAAAGTTAACTGTGAAAGGTTGGTCATTCATTTTATTTAATGATGTGCTGGGAGAAAGAAGTTGTCAAGTTCAATTTTAAAGTTAGGGTTTATATTTTGATTGAGAAATTTATGCATATGAGGAGTTAATATATATCTGGTATTTGAGGGTTGAAAGTTAATGGGAGTTCAATACTTAGCAGTGCAATTGGATTATAGTGTTGCAATTGGTCTCTAGTACGAGTAACTGGTTTCACAAAGTAGTGAGTTTGAGTTTTTAATTAACTTAATTATCTTAATAAAAATAAATATTTGGATATTTGGATAAACAGAATTAAATATTAAGTGTATCGAATTATTCAAATTTCATTGAATTTATGTTAATTGGAGGAATTAAGACTTACCCTTTGGTTTAACTTTAGGAAATTGATTAAAAGAATTAGCTAAGTTTTTTTTAAATGCAACCCAATTTATATAATAAAATAAAAGTATAAATAAGACACCACAAGTGGTATGCATTCAACGAGAAAAAACCAGTGTAAAGAAAAACAAAAATGGAAAGCTTAAAAAGGAAGAGATCTATTTCATCTGCTCCGATCTCTTCCCAAAAGTTCTGGATCTTCTCCGATGAAAATCCAGCTTGTAGATCTCCATTTATCTCCCAACACCTCCGCACAAACTACAATCTACAAGACATATAAGTGTGGTGTGAGATCATTTATAGCAAAATTTCTCACTGAAACTATGATTCAAACCAATGACGACTTGTTCATATTTGAGTGGCGTGGATCTAAATTCAGTAGTGATATGAGATGATCTAGAGAATTTAAGTTTACTGTCCTTTGAAATGGCCTCAAATTCACATTCTCGGTCTCTGGGCAAACTTCATCCCAACTGAATCGAGCTTAATCCAGATAAGTCTTTCACCCCCTTCGATTGGCATTTAGTTTTCGTTGGTTCTCACCTCTGATTTATTGTCCTAGCAGGTTGAGCCCTAAAAGAGTTGATACCACTGCTCATGACAACAAAAAAACAGGTTTGGTTCCAAAGTTTACTAAATATTTCCTTGTTCTCGTTCTTGCATATCAATTGAGTTTGTTACCCAATTCCTTTTTGTTGATACATTTACTTAACTTGTCATTGCATAGAACATCCTCAGCCTAGTGGATCCACTGGCTAAACTTACGTGATCATCTAAAAAGTATAACCTGTTAATACACATGATGGCTACATGGTTTTGCATGGACATTTGAGTTAATATGAACTCTTGTCCCCACATCGGTGCTCAATACTACTCCTAAAATATACTTTAGCTCGTGCTTTTAAAAACAACTTCCTTTCCTTGGGTTGGGATAATTTGCTCAACACTTTAGCTATAAGAAACTATCTTGGTATCAATATTCTCTTTTTCTTATACAAAACTCTTTTGGAACTCTTAGTATCCTCTTAACTTAAATGTGAAAACATTTATTAACTCTTACAGAATACTTAGTTCCCTTATAGACTTTGAGAAATGAACTCAACTCTTAAAGAATACTAAGTTCCCTTATATTACTTTGAAGTAAGATCTTCATCTCTTTACTCTTTACTTGACTTGAACTTTAAGTCTTTAAAACAATATGAAAACGTTTGTGAAATACTTTAGAAAACTTTATAAACTTTACTTTGACTTGACTCTGAACATTCATTGAATTGAAGTATGGATTTAAGGTTCATGATCTCATGTTTATGGATGATGTCATGATTTTCAACTTGGAGGGTTCACGCGGGATTATGAGCATGAACTATTCAACTCAAAAACTCAATGGATAACATGTAATCGTCCAATGATTAGGAATATAGTTTCAAAAGGAATAAGGAACTCAATACTCAAGACATAGAACTTAAAAATACTACTCATCTAAATGATACTCAATTTATGAAATTCATGTGGAAGTTATTGGCATGAACAACTCGACTCAAAGGTCTAAGTAACTAGATGGAACTCATGTATATGACTCTTCCCTTTTTCATATTTACTTTCTCAAAGTTTATTTCAAGTCAATGATGGATCTCAAAGAATTCACAATTGAACTTAAAAGATTTCTTGAACTCTACTCTTAACTTTGTCTTGAATGTGAATCATGAATTCAAGAGTTATGGTTCATGATATGAAGGATCTAGGTGATATTTTAGCCTCATGAGTACATTCTACTCACTCTCATGCTCACTTACTTGATCCTTGAAACAAGTTACTAGAAGTTATACAAGCCTCCTCAAAAGGGCTCGAAATTACTCTCTTAAAAGGTTCATAAGTACTCTCAAAACTTAATCTTGAATTTACCTTGAATTTGAATTATTGTTTCAAGGTTATGGTTCATGTTATGAATGATTTATAAGTTTTTAGAAGTAGTTTTAAGTGTTTAGAATCAAAAGGAGTGAAGATACGCTTTAAATGAGCTCAAACGGGACAACTAATGGCTTAGGAGTGAGGGCAGGCGGCCCTGGCACGTTTCAGGTGCGGGAAGTCAGCCCCTAACATCGAAGGCTGAATTTGGGCGCACTGCAAGCGAGGTGCGCCAACATCCCCCCAGGTATGCTTTCGACGAATTTTGCTCTCATTTTCTGACCCTAAATCACTTTTAATTGATTTCTTTAATCATGTTTTCCTAGATTCAATCACCCAACCTAAGTAAACACTAATACATTCAAAATAAAACTCCAAACAACCAGTTTCAACCAAAGAATTCATAAAAAGGCCAATAAGACAAGACCTACAATGAACCTCAAGAACATCTAACACGAACTTGAAATCCTTCATTTTTTAGAAAGAAATTATGCTCAAAATACATGTTTCGTCTATGGAGGAACAAACCCAACACTATGGAAGTTTACATACCTCTTAGGGATTAGACCCATGGCAAAAATCCGCAAATAACTCAAGAACGTCGACGAACGCCTTCATCATTTCCTCTTTTCTCTTATTTACTCTTTTTTTCTCCTCTTTTATCTTCTTTTCTCTTCTTGTCTCTTCTTGAACTCTCTACTAAAACCATAGGCGTATATTAGGATTATAAAACTTAACCCAAAATGATTAGACCCCTAAAAAATTACTAAAAGTAAATTAAATCTGATTGGGTAAGGAAAGGACCAAAATACCCCTCACTATTTTCGGCTAACTTTTCTTAACTGGATGGCCTAACTTCAAATAGTCATATCTCACCCACCCAAACTCAAAACTTAGAAAACTCGGAGGATTTGGAAAGACAATTCAAAGATCTTTCCTATGATATCTTTTAGCACAAATAAATCATTTTTGCTAAGAGTGATGGTTGTTTTAAGTTTACCCAAAACTCATGCTTAGCTTAACTTGCAAAATTCCATATTTTTCTATTTCCAATTTATTTCTTTTTGGAACTCAAGGTGCTAAATCTAGTGAGCAGACCTTAATACTTAAGAAACATTTTAGACCTTGGTAAAATCTCACTCACTACAATGAACGATTTGAGTCTTAGCTCAAAAAATTTCCATCGTGTTACAACTTGAAATCATATCTTTCAAACAACTTATTAAGAGATAGAGATAATACCTCCCCAGTGAATATAGAAAGAATAGGAGATAGAGGTTCCCCTATCTTCACTCCCTAGTAGAATGTAAAAAGCCATATTGTTGCCAATTAATTAGTACCGAGTATCAATTATTTGCAAGAGTCCTCCAAATCTTATCAGTCACATTAGAATCAAAACCACACCTTTCTAGAACTTTAATCAAGAAATTCCAGTCAACTCTATCATAATCTTTGTCCATATCCACCTAAATAACCATATTATTTAGTTTACCCCTCAATATAATACCATAAACAATTTCTTGAGCTAAATTTCAAAGATATTTATACCCTTAACAAAGCCAAATTGATTCTGGCAACCTTGGGAGAAATCTTTCCAATCTATCGTGAATAAGCCAAGAAATGATTTTATTGAGAACGTTACTCAAACTAATTAGTCTAAGATCTGTAAAGGAATTCGCCACATCCTTTTAGGGATGAATATAGAATAATATGAGTGTTTAAAAACTCGTTAACATACAAATTATGCACATATACTTGATAGGTTGGAAAGTTTCTGAGGCATTGAGGAAAGGAAAAGCGTTGGAGAAGTAGTTTACTGGACTTTGGTTCTTCTGTAGAGGTAGGTTATGGTTTATTATATTTGATATATAGACTCTTAATAATGATTTATATGCATTGAGTGATATTGTGAAGTTCTTTATGTACTTGATTATGTGATTGTGTGACTTGGTTGTATGGTTTGGATAATCTATATGTTCTTTGTGAATGGTCTGGAATCTTGAGAATGTGTAATTTATAATATTGAACCCTCTCTATCGAAGTGATGCCTTGAATAAAGAAGGCTTGATGAAATATTGTTAAGGAAGTGAAAAATGGTGATAATAAATGATAAATTAACAATATACTTTTGGATCGGGGTGTTAAGCTGTGACACGGTATTATTGGATCGGGGTGTCATGTTTCTACATGGTATTATGGGATCAGGGTGTCATGTTCAGACACGGTATTATTGGATTAGGGTGTCACAATCTGACATGATATTATTTGATTAGGGTACCACGCTTTAACATAGTAATATTAAGAGAAAAACATATTTAGTTAACTGAATGTACTCAATCTCAAAGAACATATTTCCCAAACAAGCCTAGTGTGAAGAAGTCACCATGTATGTGCTTGATATTTGATAGGTTACATTCTTGCTTATGTTGTCACTTGTTCATGTCGTTTGTTGTTTATCAATTACTAAGTGTTATAGTTGATACTATATTATTATTTTATGCATATTACTTACTATTTTGAGTTGGCTGTTGATATTTACTAAGTACATGTTGCCCTATATTGAGCCTTATTTGTGTTTTTCTTTGTTTTTATTTTGTAGAGTGCATCAAGTGTACCAACGACTTCGAATTTCCCTTAGCTCTATCCAGTCTCTAGAGTAACAGGTTGCAGGGTGAGTTATTCATTCAAGCTCGAGTTGAATTCTCTTGGTCATGGCATGATGTGCTTAGTTTTCAAAAATAAACAATTTAATTTATTTATTTTGGTGTTTTTGATACTTAAACTTAGTATTTGAAGATCAGATGTCCTTGGAGTGATGACTTTAAGGTTTTGGAGATAATATGTAATAGACTTTAGAGGTTTATTTGATTGGTTACTTTAATAAGTTGTGTAAAATTTTGCATTATGGTTGTTACTCGTTGTTGAACAATTGAATATAAGTCGGGGTCAAATTTGTTGTTTCTCCCACCTAGAGGTTAAGTGTGTTGTAACTCATAACTCATTTTGGGTCGTGACAAACTTGGTATCAGAGTTTTATGTTTGATGATCTCATCGGACATGTCCAGTAAAGTCGAAAAGGTATGAGGACACCTTTACTTTTCTTTGAGAGGCTATGGGACCTTACTAAAACTATTATTCTTCTTTATTTCGTGTTATTACTTGAATCCGATTGGTATCTGATCTTCTTCACTCTATTTCGTAGATAGTAGAATTAGACCAACAACTATGAGAACACCAACATGTTTAAGAGAGGTTTCTCTAAAGCCAACCATTGGGGCTACATCTCGAGGAGGAGAAATGGAGAGAGGTCATGGTAGAGGTAACGGTAAAAGGACCACTAGATGCAGAGAACAAGAACCATGTCCAGTTAGGGATAGAGTAGTGACTCCTCCATCGACTAACGAGGTAGCGAGAGAGGGTGATAAAGGGGAAGAGGTGATGATTCAGGAGAAGAAAGTACCACCCAGCCTGCTTCAGAGACGATAAATTAGGTTGTTACTTATCTCAACGGGTTATCTGATCAGGGCCAAACACCCTCAGCGTTTCTTGCACCAACACCTTAGGATTAGGGAGTACAATATGCAGTTGTTGTGTCTCCTGCATGGATGCGTCGTTAGAAATCGGCATGTTTACCCGATTGACTAGAGGGCCTATAATAAATAGTGACCAGCATGACCTTTTTATTAAGTCCTTAAAGTTGAAACCTCTAGTATTCTAGGATACTAAATCTAAAGATACTTATGATTTCCTGATTGATCTTCATGAGTTGCTACATAAGATGGATATAGTGAAGAGGTTCGGTGTTGAGTTTGTGACTTATTAGTTACTATGGGATGCCAAAATGTGGGAGAGGTCTCATGTTGAGTGTTGACCACCAAAGACATCACCTATGACTTGGACACCCTATTGTAGTTTCTTTATGGAGAAGCATATACCCCGGACTTTAAGGGACATGATGAGAGATGAGTTCCTAAACGTAGAGAAAGCAAGGATTTATGCTGCAGCTTATGAGGCTAAACTTTTTGCATTACCCAGGTATGCCACTCAATGTTACTTCAGTCCGGAAGAACGGATTCGCCACTTTGTAAAGGGATTGAGGTCAAATTTGTAGATTCCAACTTTACAGATAGTTACTTCTAGAAAATCTTTTTAGAAAGTGGTTGATTTTGTACTAGAGGTAGAGGAGGTGAAGCCGGTTGACTTAACCAAGGTGTCAACATTTAAAAATTTCCCTAATGGAGGCGAGTTTAGCAGTTCATACTCTAGATGGAAGAGTTTAGGGAGCTATCTACATGATCTATTCATTCTTCAGGCCAGGCTTAAGTTGAGGGTCCATTGCATACCAGTCAGCCTTTTTAAATGTTTGGGGATATCTTTAGTCATATTTGTCTTCACAAAAACCTACACTCGATCCAATATCCTTCTTAGGGCATGTGGTTTCTATCGATGGAGTGATTGTAGACCCCACTAAGATAGAAGTAGTGACGGGTTAGGTAAGGCCTATTAATGTTTCATAGATAAGGAGCTTCGTTGGTTTAGCTAGCTACTACCACAGATTCATCAAAGGATTCTCTTCCATTGCTTCCAACATAACCAATTTGACCAAGCAAAATGTTCCATTTGTATGGTCGGATGAGTGTGAATAAAGCTACCTAAAACTCAACACATTGTTGAGTAATGCACTGACTCTTGCCTTACCAGTGGAAGGTAAGATTTTCACTATATATTGTGATGCATCTTATTCTAATTTGGGTGTAGTGCTAATGCAGGAGAGGAATGTAATTGTATGTTTCAAGAAAATTAAAAATGCATGAATGTAACTATCCTACCCATAATTTGGAGTTGGTTGCAATGGTATATGCATTGAAGTAGTGGAAGCAGTATCTATATGGGATCAAGCGTGAAGTGTATACAAATCAATTCAGCTTACAATGTGTGTTCACTAAGAAGGATTTGAATTAGAGGCAAAGGAGGTGGATGGAGTTATAGAAATACTATGATGTTGCTATTTTAAATCACCCTGGAAAAGCTAATGTTGTGGTAGATGCCCTAAGTAGAAAGTAGGGAGCATGGGTAGTTTAGTCCACTCACATGTTTTTAGACGCTCATTGGCTAGAGAGGTTCAAACTCTAGCTTATGAATTTATGAGGCTAAAAGTACTTGAGAAGGGACAATTCTTGTCTTGTGTAGAGGCAAGATCTTCTTTCTATAGAAGATTAAAATAAAAACATTTGATGATGAGAAGCTAAGCCGAATTGGAGATATGGTATTGCGAGGAGAGGCTAAAGAGAATTTAATTGATCAGGAAGGTGTCTTGAGAATCAAGGGGTGGAATATGTGCCTCGTATTGATGATTTGACTCATACTATTCTTATAGAGGCGCATATTTCAATGTATGTCATACATCCTGGTGCAACTAAGATGTGTCATAATTTGAGACAACATTATTCTGGAATACAATGAAGCATGATATTGTTGATTTTGTTGCCCATTGTCCACACTGCCAGCAGGTAAATTATGAACATCAGAGGCCTAAGGGATACTTCAGAGAATGTTCATTCCTGAATAGAAGTGGGAAAGAATTGCAACGGATTTGGTGGTTGGTATTCAAAAGACATTGGGTAAGTTTGATTCTATTTGGATAATTGTTGAAATGTTATTTAAGTCTCCTCACTTAATTTCGCCAACATGACTTATAATGCAGAGAAGTTAGCCAAACCCTATACTCGTCATATTGCATGGAGTTCCAATGTCCATCATATCAGATAGAGGTACGAAATTTACTTCTAACTTATTGAGGAACTTGCATAGTAAATTAGATACTAGATTGGATATTAGTACTGCATTTCACTCTCAGACCGATGGGAAGTTTGAGCAAACAATTCAAGTTTAAGATGATATGCTTCGTGTGTGTGTGATGGATTTTGGTGGTCATTGGAATCAATTCTTACCCTTAGTAGAGTTTTCATACAGTATTATCTATCACTCGAGTATTGATATGGCCCCATTTGAGGCATTGTCTGGGAAGATATGTAGGCCTCTCATTGGTTAGTTTGATCATTCAATGTGATACCTCGGAGTACTGATATTTTGAGGGAATTGTTAGAGAAAGTGAAATTCATACATGAGATGTTTCTAGAAGTTCAGAGCAGGCTGAAGGAGTATGCAAATCGAAAGGTCAAGGTCTTAGAGTTTATGAAGGGTGAGCAAGTCTTGTTAAAGGTTTCACCCATGAAGGGTGTAATTCAATTTTATAAGTGGGGTAAGCTTAGTTCGAGGTATATTGGACCATTTGAAGTTCTTAAGTGTGTGTGGGAGCAGAATATGAATTGGCCTTTCCTCCATGGTTATCAGGTGTGCACTTAGTGTTTCATGTGTCTATGTTGAAGAAACAACATTGTGATAGAAACTATATTATTTGATAGTATTCAATCCTTTTCGATATGAAATTGTCTTAAGACGGAGAGTTTGTAGATATTCTAGATAGGGAGATCTACAAGTTGAGGTCAAAAGATATTGCCGTAGTGAATGTCTAGTGGAAGAATCTCCAAGTTGATAAGTGCACAATGGATACTGAGGAGGATATGCACAAAAGATATCCACACCTTTCTTTGATTCAAGTACCTTTTATTTCCCTTGCCTTCTTTGATCGTTCGAGGATGAACAATGAATAAATTGGTATCTAATGTAACGACTCATTTGATCATTTTGAGTACCAGAGCAATTTTTTCATAAAGTACTTCTACTAGATTCTAAATGGACATTGTGGACTCTGCGTAACTACATCATAAAATTAGTAGGGTAATTTAAATAGTTAAATTATTCGATGCTTAAGAAATATTACATTAAAATTAGTAAGATTAAATATTTATTAGTTCTTTATTAGTTACCTTAAATAATTAAAAAGACTTAGCGAGAGAAACACTACATGTGGTGTAATTAGAAGCGACTGCCATCCAAATAATGCTTCAACTCTTATATTTCTTTTAGTAATATGTAATGAGTTCTATTTATTAGTAGTATTTTGCATTGTTATTTGTTGGGAAAGAGAAATCAAAATGAGAAGAGGTTTGAATTAGAAATTTATCATATACATGTAGGTTTATATTAATTGGGGGTAAACAATATTTAATGCATTGTAGTGGGTTAGTTATGAAGTTTAAGTTAGAGCAATGGTTTTTGCATTCTTGATTTAAGAAAGTTGACTATTGAAAGGTTGGCCCTTCATTTTATTTAATAATGTGTTGCGAAAGGAAGTTGCAAAGTTCAATTTTAAATGTAGGGTTTGTATTTTGATTGAGAAATTTATGCACATGGGGAGTCAAAAGTTATCAGGTAATTGTGGGTTTAAAGAGAATGGAAGTTCAACACTTAGCGGTGCAATTAGATTATAGTGTTGCAATTGGTTTATATTACGACTAATTGATTTCACAAAATAGTGAGTTTGACTTTTTAAATTAACTTAATTATCATATTATTGATATATGGAGATAGGTAATTAAATACTACGTGTATCGAATTATTTAAATTCTATTTAAGTTATGCTAATTGGAAGAATTAAGACTTACCTTTAGTTTGAACTTTAGGAAATTTATTAAAAGAATTAGGTAAATTTTTTGGTGTAGGCTAGACATAGAATAATATGAGTGTTTATAGACTCATTAACTTACA